TCATGTTCGAATAAAATTTCATTTCATTTCAAACATGTGATTGGTTGATCAGATCAGAACAAACGTCCGATTGGTTCCTCACATCACGACCATAACTCTCACTCTCTGTCTCTCCCTCCCTCCCTCAGTGGACGTTTGATTCGACGCTTCCTGTGCAGCGGCGGCCCGGGTGGAGCTTACTGTCTGAGGCGCAGGACGTCCGGCCCGTCGGACCGATCGGCACCACCGTGTGTGTGAGGACTGCTCATGCATCGCTTAAGGACTTGTGCGGCGCGGTTGCGCCCGCTCACCGCCTCGCAGGCGGCGCAGACTGTCGGCCAGCAGCGGCCAATCACAGCCACCGGCGCCGCTGGCTCAAGGACGTTTCAGCCAATCAGGAGCTTCTCGGCGCCGGTGGCGTCGGAGCCGTTCCTGAACGGGACGAGCTCCAACTACGTGGAGGAGATGTACTACGCCTGGCTGGAGAATCCCAAGAGTGTCCACAAGGTGAGGCGCCCCCTGCTGGACCGGGGTCAGAGGTCAGGCCTGGGTGAACAACTGGAGAAATGGTGGCGCCTCCTACTGGTCTGATGAGAATCCTCTCTGGTTCTGGAGAGAAATGTTATTTGGGTCCAGAAGGTTCTGAAGATCCACATGCTTTTACTGTCTGGTCATGTGACAGCCGGTTCTGGTCCAGGTTCTGTTTGGAGGCATGACCTCTATTGACCTCTATTGTTCTGATCCGACGGGTCAGAACCCGTAAATCCCACGTCCAGACGGGAGTCTGAAGGCGACTCAGCTGCCATCAGAACCGACCCGATATCGTTCCAGCGCCGCTAAAGGACACCGGCTAATTTTAGCTCCCCGACGCTCCGACACATGGCTCAGCTGCTGCACTGGACCAGAACCAGAACCTCTGCTGGACCAGAACCTCTGCATGTTCTGGTCCATATTTCCTGCCGGAGCGGTTGGGTGTTAAGTTCAGGTCAGAACAGGAACCGGGTCCAGAGCGGTTCCTGGCAGGAAGAGGGTTTAAATCTGTTAACCTGACAGCAGCTACGCTTTTATTCAGTTATTTATCCCCATAAACTCCCTCTAAACATGTTTAAAACACTAAACTGTGCCAGTACTGACGGGTTTTGGTTCCACCAGAACATCAATAAAAATAAAAAAATATCAATTAGAATGAATAATAATCAATAATTGCAGATTAGTGATGGTCATCACCCTCTGGATGTACCTGCTGTCCTGCAGGTGCCTGTTTTTAAATGTTTCAGTTGAATTCAATCGGAGGCGCTGAACCCCGTGGACTGATCGCTACCGTAATGTTTGGACTATGAGCGGCTACAGTTTCAAATGCTTTGAGCTTTAACCACAAACTCTCCGGTAAATAAACTAACTAACGTTTGTTTAGGAAGTAGAGCGTCCTCACTCAGACACACGTTTGACACAAAACACCAGGTTTAATTTATTTTCCATTATTTTGTTAATAAAGGTGGGAAAATAAAAAGATTAATTAATTCAAAGGAAAACCTCGGGGTACTTAACATATTTATACAACTTTTTCTCTTCATAGTTATCCTCAGGCTCAGTAGCAGGGAAATTACGGTAACCACCAGGACTGAATGAAATGTTATGAATTCATCATTTCAGCATCTCACAGGAGAGTCTGGAGTCCAAGTGTCACGAACTTGTGTTTTTCATGTCCATGTGATATTCAGCCTCACACCAGATATTAATGACATCACCATAAAGGTTAAAGGTCACAGAAGGATGGACCATTCAGCCCCACAACCCTCCAAACAGGATGTCCATCTCTTCATCACAGTATTGCTCCCATTGCTGTGATCTCAGTTAGTCAGCCATGTTGTTCAGCTTAGTTGAAAATGTCTGAAATGTTTCTATTAAGTTACATTTATCTGAGTTGAGTCGGGTCTCAGAACCAGAACCGGTCCTGCTCTGCATGGTTAAACATCATTTCTGCTGTTTATTAATAAGCATCCCAGAATAATCGTCGTCTCTCCTCACTGAACGTTTCTCTGAATCTTTGATTCGGTTCATTATTTATAACGTTACAGAAACCAAACATTACTGATCTAAAATGTGATTTTCACTGAATTAAAAAATGCTGAACAAAACATCAATATTAAGCTAATAGGTGATGTTAGCATGTGTTTACACCATGTCTAGAAGCTTTTGGAGGAACTGACTGGGTGTTCATGGGTAGATTTGCTCGAGCCAACATGGTGGACGTGTTGCTGCTAGCGTTAGCAACCTTGTTGCTCTGTGACCTCGTTCTGCTGGAAGTGTCTCCATGGTAACCAGACTGGTTCCCCAAACTGTACCGTGGTTTTTAAACACTAAATGTCATGTGGCCCCTGTGTTTTAACACCATGGCAGGGATTCAGAGTGGGCGGAGCCTGGAACGGACCCGCCCCTTCCTGTGGGTCGGGTCAAACGAATCCAAATCCTGGAAGTTAATGTTCTGCAACCTGAAGAACTCAGCATGACTGTTGTGGAGCTAATTTCTACTGCAGAATGTCTGTCTGGCTAGCTAGCTAGCTAGCTAGCAAGCTAACGGTAGCCTTCAGTGCTACTCCATGACTAGCGCTGTTAGCTTCCTGTTCTCCCCCAGCCTGGCGCTCTGGTTGCTGCCCTGAACTGTTCTCCTGGACGAACTGCAGTGATTCTGCAGCCGTTGGCTCGGTTTCAGCTCTGAAGTGACTCGGGTTGTTCTGCAAAAGAAGACAAAATATTGCAAATTCCTTGTAAATATTCCTAAAGTAGCACCAAAAAATTCACTAAAACTATTGTGAAATCTCAGATAAAGTTTTGTAACTAAAAGAGGGTCAGAGATTTTCGTGGTTATTGACCTCTGTGGTGCCGACGCGCTAATGAATCTGTTTTTCTGATTTCTGCTCTTGTGATTTTCACAACAAATTTACGCCCAACGTGGGGAACGATAAATCACATACATGCATACGTTAAAACCTCCTCCCATCCGTCCTGCCTGACCTCTGACCTCTTCTTCCTTCCCTCCAGTCGTGGGACGTGTTTTTCCGTAACGCCAACGCCGGCGCGCCCCCCGGCGCCGCCTACCAGTCTCCTCTGGGTCTGGCGGCTCCTCAGCTGTCCTCGCTGGTCGGCGCTCAGCCCAACGCGGAGAAGCTGGTGGAGGATCATCTGGCTGTCCAGACCCTCATCAGAGCCTACCAGGTACGAACACATTTCACCTGGAGATGAAACTGTAACCTTCTCTGAACCAGTGAACTATGAACCTGAACTGATTCAGTTTCAGTCACTTTGACCTGATTCTGCTGAAGTTGGAACTTTCACAAGTCTGTGGTTTTTATGTGAACTGCAGTAAACTCAGGCCCAGTTTGCACGATAAAAAGTTCTGGTGAAAATGGAAGTTTTGCTGAGTTTGTGCTTCACATTTACACAAAAATAGCAAATGTTTTCCCTGACAGTGGCACAGTTTGACAACGGGTTCCAAACGTACCGCTTGTAAACGGAGTAAATGGATCTTTTCTGTCAGGGAGTCATGGCCTCATGCAGTATGACACAAAACAGCTGCTGCTACAATCCACAGAAGAAGAAACTGCCGACAGGTGTTACGACGATCCGCAGTTCCCCGTCAGATACGTTCCCCCTCGTCTCCTCGCCGCTCTGCACCGCCAGGCGGCAAAATACGCGCCTGGTTGTTCAGCACTTTTATCCAGAGAACTGCAGACACTGTGAAAGCTCAAACATGGTTCAGCAAAGTTTCCCACTTTCTGTTACTCTTTTGCAACTGGGCTCTCATCAGTGTGTGTGTTCTCCCAGATCCTGGGGAAATGCGAATCGACGTAACGACTGTCAGGTAGAACTTTAATGCAGAACCTAGCAGCCACTAGTGGCGTGGCGAAGGCGGTGCACCTGTTCGATGTGTAAACAGAGATTGTAATTGGAATGGCTTCGTGTGTTGATAGAAATGGAAAAAAATAAATAAATTTTGTTGGATCATTGTCATGAAAACAGGGCCTCAGAAAAGATTCTCATCCTTTTCTGGACATTAACTGGTTGAAATCTACATATTTATAAAGTGATTAATTATTTAGTGAAATTGTTTGAACTTGACTGAACGTCGGTGTGAAACTGAGCTGAAATGTTTAGCTTTCTGTTTCTTTCAGCCATGATTCCTCTGATTTCTCTGAACATGTCGAGTGTTTCTGTCTGGGTTATGAGAGAAAAGGGCCTAGTCCATGTAGCCGATACCTGGGAAGACATTTTCATTGGTTTTGGTCTTTCATCCACATGAAAACGCAGTTTAATATTAAAAACAATTATTTATAAAAAAGTCTGACCAAAGTGAAGGTTTAAAAAACCTGTATCTGTTTGTGTGTTTATGGGAAACAGATTTAAAATCCGACGCTTTAAAGTCTGCGACAAATAATTCACAGATTTATCCACAGACTCACTTTGACATTTATTTCCAGTTATTACTTGTGATTATACTCAGTCCAACATGATGGGCTATAAATTTAACATTGCACCCACCATTAGTGTAACTTTAGCTGTGATGCTAATTAGCGACAGTAGGCACTTAAGGAAAGCAACTGACCATTCAGTCTTGGTATGTTGATTATTTTCAACATACTGAGAGACTGTGAAGCTGTTTTTGAGCAGCCATTTCTTTCCACCGCTGCAGCGTTGTGGAGGAATCAAACCTTCCTCTGCACAGCCAGGTCAGAGAGGGAGCAGTTCTTCTCTTGAAAACAAATACTTCCTGCTTTCTGACTGAAGCAACACTGAAGGCGCCGCTGCACTGTTTCCATGGTAACAGATTACTGTACTAATGAGGCTTTTATTTTCCAGGTGAATTATGGAGAAGAAAAGCTGGGATGTGGCTTAAATCAAAATTAGAGCTGAAGTCGTTATTATGAACATATAATCTAAATTATAGAATCTATTAAAGTATATATATATATATATATATATATATATATATATATATATAACTTTTATTTATGTTGGTTGTCTCATTGAGATCCAAAATCTCATTTGCAAGAGCGGCCTGCTTATTTCTGTACAGTGATATTGAAACTTGTTCATCGCTCCATCAGCCAGCAGAGAGTCGGTTTCCCTCCTGCAGGC